TGCGGTTTTTTGCATTCGATTCGTTAGAGCGTCCAGAAAGTTTGTGACCCTATGTGATCAATGAGAAATGAAAACTGCATCGGTGCATAAGAAAAATGCATTTTTAAAATTGCATCTCGAAGAGTTAAAATATTAAAAATTTATAAATCGGTAAATATTGACGGAAATGAGTTCAATTTTGTTACTCGGGGGTTTTTGGGGTCACGGAACACGAATATCACAACGGCAACGGTCTCCGAGATACCTAGTGCCCAGGGTGGCCGGTTTCCGCGTCGTCTCCTGAAGTTTTATGGAAATTCGTTATAAACTCAACCGAAACTCGTTACCTCGGGGTTTTTGAGGACGCTCAATACGAATATCACGACGGTAACGGTCCTCGACACATCACATTAGTTTTTAAATTATTTAAAAAAATTAAAAACATTTTTTTAAGTTTAATACCCTGTATCTTTTTCACGAAGCTTCCTAGACGAAAACTTTATAGGAAAGACTCCTCTTAAAATTCACCAAATAATACGAGCTTTCATTTTTGGTCACCGTTTGTGAATCTCCCTGTATAACATAAAATTTCTAAATTCCTGAATTTTTTGCTTAAGTAAATCGATGTTATCGTCACAATCGTTTGACTACACTTTTTGCTTTATGTTTATGACATTTGTCTTGTTGAAAGATTAGTTTTCTTCTGAACTCTAAATTGTCGCTATCTAGTTCTGCCAAAACAAAATTATTGAGAATTTTCAAATACGAATTTTGATTAAGAGTTTCTTCCAAAAAGGAAGGACCAATTATTTTATGATACATTATGCCACACCAGACATTTACCTTTTTAAATTTTTGATCATTAGTTCTAGACTACGACATTGAGGCAAATGTACAATCATCGCAGTGGAATTTTTATTACGTTTAGTTTTTTTAATTATAAAACCAAATTGAATATTGATGATTATCTAAATTTTTGATGTAAGAAGCATATATATAGTTTCACAATTAGCTTAATACCTACTTAATATTTTTTTTTGAATAATTATTCAAATATAGACGTTTCAATGTGTCATATAATGAATGATCTAAATAACAAATTTTATGGAAATTAAAATGTACTGTTGCAAGCGAATTAAAAAATATGCGTTTTATACTAAACTGCGTGTTATTCAAAATACCGCAGATACACGGCTTGTTGGTAAATTTGCTTAACCAAATTTTTCAATAACTTATTGACCTTTCGAAAAATCAATCTCTTCGTTTTGGCAATTAAGAATGAGGTTTAATTTTTTATCCAACACTTGTATATGATACTATAATTTCTTTGGTTTTAAAGGAATAATGTGGCCTATAAGTCACTAGTAAGTTATAAGTCATACGTTACTAGTAAGTTATGACTTATAATCCACTAGTGACTTGTAGAAATTCAAAAAAGACAAATAAATGTTTGGTTTATTTTACTAATTTTTGTTAGAAAACCAATTTAAAACAATAATAAATCAACAAATAACCTAAAATGCTACAAACTTACAATCTACCTACTTATTAATGTTAACATTAACATTTATGGTAAAGCCGTAATTTGGTGCCAAAGGATTATTGGAATCATTTTGTGATTGTGGTAAATTTATAGAACAGGTTGCCTCTTTGCTTGTGCTTGCTTCAGGAGTCTGCACCCCTTGTATCTTTTTAACAATATCAATTTTGCTGGAAAATGACTTCCTATATAACTTTCTGCCACGGTAGATGGCTTCCATCCGTCGTGACGTTTGAGTGTAATTTCCCCTCAAGCATTGGCCAAGAGAGTAGCAGATGCGCGACGAAGCAAAACTAAGTAAAAAAGTTCATATGAACATGGATCCGGAAATGCTTCCTAAGGGCACAGGGACCCATTGAAGAGGGAGGAATGGAAATCATTTTTTTTGCAATATCTCTCAATCGCGTTGTGATAAATGAATGAAATTTGGTATACACAGCTAAATTTTGATGAGCAATTTGATGGACTAATCCATTTATTTCCACAAGGTCCATTGGGGTGGGTACGGGGGGGCCCTTGGTACTTTGCGTGTGTAACTTTTTCATCTTTGACTTTTTAACAAATTGGACAGCAAATTCCGTTTTCCCGAACTGTTTTACGTTAAAAAGGTACTCTTGTTTCAAATCGTTATCTTTAACGGTTTCTGAGAAAATCGCTCTTGAATTAATCCCACTTTGGTCAATTTCATAGTAATTTAAACAAAATTATCAAGGTATTCTTATGTCAAAGTATTGTCAACCCGATTGCCAATTTAATAGTTCTAAGCGAAAAAAATGGAAGAGTTTACGGGACAAGAGTTAGTTGATATGATATTTATTTATGGCTTTTGCGATGGTAATGCTGCAGCGGCAGAACGCGAGTACGGGAGAAGGTTTCCAAACCGAAGGCTGCCATCAAGGAGGACATTCCCTACGGTATTCCGCAACTTAGCTGCAACCGCCACTTTTCGAAAGGCACCGGGTCAAGGACGTCCCAGGATTAATAGGGAAGCGGAGGTCCTTGACGCTATTGAACAAGATCCTACGACTAGCATACGGAACATTTCAAGGCAAATAAATGTTCCTCGGCCAACGGTACTACATATCTTAAAGATTTCCTTAACAGAATTGATTAGATGTGCTACTAACATTTCAGGTTGGAAGAATATTAAAGCGACAAGGTCTACATGCCTATCACTATCGACGTGTACATGGCTTGATACCAGAAGATTTTGCGCCACGTATGCAATTTTGTCGCTGGATTTTGTCGCTGGACAACGAGCAAGCTTCCAAAATTTTGTGGTGTGACGAAGCTACTTTTACCCGAAATGGAAAATTAAATTTTCATAATTCTCATTATTGGGAAGAAGAGAACCCACATGTTGTTCGGAGAACAAACTTCCAGCAACGGTTTTCCATAAATTTATGGGCGGGAATAATTCACGACACTCTGATTGGACCTATTGAAATTCCACAACGTCTCAATTCAAATCTTTATTTAAACTTACTTCAAGAAAATCTTCCCCAAATTCTCGATGATCTGCCTCTAAATTTACGACGTAACATGTTTTTTCAACACGATGGAGCCCCGGCACATAGTGGTCGCAATGTTCTAAATTTCCTAAACGAAAATTTCGCTGGACGGTGGATAGGGAGGCACGGACCGGTAGCTTGGCCGCCGCGTTCTCCCGACCTAACCCCGCTGGACTTCTTTTTCTGGGGATATCTAAATCAAAAAGTTTACGCCACCGAAGTCGATACCCGTGAGGAATTGCTGCAGCGTATCAATGATGCAGCCAATGAAATTCGTCAAAACCGTTTTAGCATCTTAATAGCTTCGAGAAGTGTTACACGTAGGGCAAGACTTTGTATCAGAGAAGGTGGAGGGTTTTTTGAACAGTTTTTAAAATAGCTTGTTGTCTGTTATCAAAATTAAGTTTCCATCTTATGATCCCTTCGAAAAGTGACGGTTGCAGCTAAATTGCGGAATACAGTGAGGAATGTCCTCCTTGATGTCAGCCTTCTGTTTGGAAACCTTCTGCCGTACTCGCGTTCTGCCGCGCAGCATTACCATCGCAAAAGCCATAAACAAATCATCATATCATAATTGTTCTACATCAATAATGTGTATTACTGATTACGTATTAAATTATTATTATTATTTTTTGTTTAAATTACTATGAAATTGACCAAAGTGGGATTAATTCAAGAGCGATTTTCTCAGAAACCGTTAAAGATAACGATTTGAAACAAGAGTACCTTTTTAACGTAAAACAGTTCGGGAAAACGGAATTTGCTGTCCAATTTGTTAAAAAGTCAAAGATGAAAAAGTTACACACGCAAAGTACCAAGGGCCCCCCCGTACCCACCCCAATGGACCTTGTGGAAATAAATGGATTAGTCCATCAAATTGCTCATCAAAATTTAGCTGTGTATACCAAATTTCATTCATTTATCACAACGCGATTGAGAGATATTGCAAAAAAATGATTTCCATTCCTCCCTCTTCAATGGGTCCCTGTGCCCTTAGGAAGCATTTCCGGACCCATGTTCATATGAACTTTTTTACTTAGTTTTGATCATAGAATCGGCCTGTTCAGGGTTGGCAGCTAATTATGAGACACCCTGTATAGATTTTGATTTCTCCGGAATGATGCCTGCAGTAGCCGCATTAGCTTTTTCTAAAATTTCAGATGGAATTTCCACATTTTACATTTTTTCAGTCTTGGTTTTAGGATTTCAACGTGATTTCAACTAAAAAAATATTATTTGTTTACTGACAACACTTGGTTACAGACACAATTTAGGTTGACACTCGCATCCTTTGTAATATTTAAAAATACATTCATGCCGTTAAATTACTTTTTCTTACATTGACTACTTGAAATTTTAAGTTACTTTTATTTATTAGTAAAACGAAATTCTATGAAAGTATTGGATAAGGTGCTTGTGTGTTACGTTATACTTGGGAAAATTAGCCCAGCGTGACTGGGTGATATACCGTAACACACTAGTACCATAAATAACTATATGTAATTTCGAATGTACTAATTTGTTTGTCTGCTTATCCGTGTCAAACTATTAAATTATCGTTAAATTCATTTGATCAAAATACGTTTGAAAACGTCATTTCGATGTTACGAATTTGCGCATACACAAGGAAACTAATACAGACATTTACTTGATAGGTTGGGAGCTGTTAAAGCGATTGTGGCGACCTATAACATTTACAGGATGAATTACTTGAATATTGCACAGATCACTATAATTTTATAATTGTTGATGCCTGTTTAGAACAATGTTTTATCTGTAAATTAAAACATTTTTTTGCAAAACAACTGTAAAAACACCCAAAAGCTATAAAAACTTAGAAGATTTCCGAAATTGAAGCTGATATGACAAATTGTTCTTTTATTTAGACGCAGTGTAGCTATATGATACGAACCTTTGTATCAAGTACAAATTTGCTTATTTTCAATCATTAATTCAAGGTTTTTCCTGACCACTGATTAAGTGAGTATATTCGCTTTTACTTTACGACAGGAGATTAGTAATTTTTTGCAACAAGGGAAGATTATACCTACTGGGGTAAGTCTATTAACAAAAAATATTATATACCGATATTAATTCGTGCTGGAAACGGAAATTTGTCTTTCACATACATTTTTACAATTTAAGTCGAAACGAACTATGATACGAATTACTTTTTTTTCGAAAACTGTTATCAAAAGTCGACATTTTCGTTAAATTTCCAGTTGACAAAGTGTTTTTTTTTGTCACCTGCTGCAAAATACTAATTTTATGTCGGAAATATGCCAGTAATACCGTTTTGGAGACTTTTTGAATTTTTTTCGAACTACACCACCCTTTGAATTCGTTATAGGCAAACTCGTACGATTTTTTGGGGATTACTTGTGAAACAGCACTTTGTGCCCCTTCCAATACTTCCCCTGGTAAACGCTCGTCTTCACTTTCCGAACTCATTTTGAATTAATAGGCCAGGTAATTTAGAGTTGGGCGCGACTTTTTGTTTCGGCAAGCTGAATAGATGATAAATATTATGTACAATAACATATTAGTTTCCACAGTCATAAAAATATAATATAATATAATTTTTACGTAAATTCACGTTTTTTAATTTTTATTTAATTTAATTTTTTATTATTATTTTTTTATTAAAATTAGATTAAATTTAAACAAAAAAATTTGTTTTGTTTAAATTACTATGAAATTGACCAAAGTGGGATTAATTCAAGAGCGGTTTTCTCAGAAACCGTTAAAGATAACGATTTGAAACAAGAGTACCTTTTTAACGTAAAACAGTTCGGGAAAACGGAATTTGCTGTCCAATTTGTTAAAAAGTCAAAGATGAAAAAGTTACACACGCGAAGTACCAAGGACCTCCCCGTACCCACCCCAATGGACCTTGTGGAAATAAATGGATTAGTCCATCAAATTGCTCATCAAAATTTAGCTGTGTATACCAAATTTCATTCATTTATCACAACGCGATTGAGAGACATTGCAAAAAAATGATTTCCATTCCTCCCTCTTCAATGGGTCCCTATGCCCTTAGGAAGCATTTCCGGACCCATGTTCATATGAACTTTTTTACTTAGTTTTGATCATAGAATCGGCCTGTTCAGGGTTGGCAGCTAATTATGAGACTACTTTTTCAAACAACTAAATTTTTACTGATTATTAGGTTGCTATGGTGGTCTATGTCGCTATCGTTATGATAGTCACCGCGCTTAAACCTTCTTGATTCAAAGGAATGCTTTTTAGTTCTCGACTTCCTTTCTTGAATGCAAAACTACCATTACATTGACAAAAATTGTGTAAATGTTTCGATTTCTATTTTTGTCAAAATCTTACACACCTTTCTTCACTTCATATTCACTTCATTTGATAAGATTTTTTGGAAAAAAATTAAATCTGTTGATGTACTTTATTATCAGTGTTTAAGGTAGCTACTGGCATAATGGTTCAAAGCGGATATGACAAATTTTATCACGATGGAGGAAAATTACTGGCTCATCCTTCACCAGGAGAAGAAGTCGTCATATCAGGTAAGCAATTTTTGATGGAGTTTCTCAGTTTTTTGTTCTTTGCTCAAGTAAGAATATCACCGAATTTATTATTAAACAAAAACATAGGTATCGCCGGGGTGTTTCCAAATTCGAGGAACATCTATGAAATGAAGGAAAATCTGTTCAACAAGGTAGACATGGTGTCGCTAAATAAAAAATGGGATTGTGACCATTTTGAGTTACCTTCTCGCCTAGGAGCCGTTTTGGAGTTTGACAAATACGACGGTGGATTTTTCGGTAAGCGACAAACATCGTTCCAATCATTTCCAAATTGTACTTGATGGTATTCGTGTCTTCTGCAAATTGAAATTAGGAAATATACAGTGTGTCCTAAAATGAAAAATTAATATTTTTTCCAATTGAAATTTTAAAAAATCGCTGGAACAGATCAATTAGTAAATAGAAATTGTCAGACATTGTATATTTTCTATTTACTAATTGACCTGTGTCAGCGATTTTTTAAAATCTCAACTGGAAAAAAAATCTGAATTTTGTTCCATTATTTTTGGGCACACTGTATATGTATTACACAGCCACACTAAAAAAAGTTGTCTGTGTTTTTCATGCGACATATGTTATCCGTAGTATTTTTGCCTCCTGATCACGAATCTGGTGTCAGAATCACATCACAGGAATTTCCTAACCTCAAAAAACAGGTGAAAAATAGCAAAAATTCACGAAAAAGTGCTAGGAAAAGTGTCAAAAATTTTTTTTTCTATATTCAGATGTTCATTTATATGGTTTTAAGACTCCGCCGAATGTGAATCCACTGTCAAAATTGATGGTTCTTTTTCTAACCTCAAAAAAAACGGATCAATTAAGATCAGATATCACGAATTTAAAAGAAAAGCAGATTCGCGCCAAATTTGGTATCCCGGGGTTTTCGGGGTCACTTATCACGAATCCGAGATCAGATTTACAAAATTCGTTTTTAAAAATTTTATCAGTAACCTATGTACTTTAAGAAGGTTAAAACATGATTGGGTACTCAGGTTATAAAGTAAACAAAAATATAACAAGATGAATTTCGCAATTCTGAAATTCGTAATCAGCGACCCCGAAAACCCTCGTATACCAAATTTGACGCGAATGTGTTAATTTTTGAAAATTTGTTCGGCCATCTCTGATCCGCCATGTTGAATTTTACAAAATTGACCTCGGATCCGCGATCAGCGACCCCGAAATCCCCCTACACCAAATTTGGCGCGAATCTGTTATCTTTTGAAAATTCGTGATTTCTGACCTTAAGTGACCTGTTTTTTTTGAGGTTAGAAAAAGAACCATCAATTTTGACCGTAGATTCATGTTCGGCGGTAAATGAACTTTTGAATATAGAAAAAAACAAATTTTGTATTTTTCCTAGCACATTTTCGTGAATTTTTGCTATTTTTACCTGTTATAAGTAATAGTAATAGTAATAGTAATAGTAATACTAATAATACTAATAATAATAATAATGATAATGATAAAGATAACGATAACGATAACGATAACGATAACGATAGTAATAGTAATAGTAATAGTAATAGTAATAGTAATAGTAATAGTAATAGTAATAGTAATAGTAATAGTAATAGTAATA